TCTTTGGTATACTTTTAAAGCAGTCTCTCCCTACCCACAAGGACGTAATTATATTATGCTCTGTATTTTCCCATAGTTGTTATAGGATTTTTTTTCTCATTTCTAAACATTTTGCTCTCGTACAATGGTCTTTTTGGTTTTCCTTTCTCATTAATCACACTGCTTAATCATAATGCAGTTTAACTTGAAGCTATCGCTATTGCAGACTTCCTCTCACTGCCTTCTCGTGGATTAGCCTCCTGCAGATCTGACTTTAAGATGATGGAAAGGCTACATGGGTTAAATTGCTTTTATTCTTTCAATCGGGACCATAGGAGAATCTCTGACACAAGGAGAAGTTTGCCTTTTGCAGTGACAAGAATGAACAAGTTGCTGAATTTCTATAATATAACTTTTCACTTTAGCTTTTTCCAAATAGCATCCCATCAGAATAGTTTCTAAGCCATTGGCATCTAAGTTAGAACTTTGAATCAAGAAAGCACAGTTGTAGGTTCAGGGGAATAGTAAATGTTTGAAAATTGATGGTGAGGAGGGTGGAGCGTTTCTGGTCATGCTGGATCAATTAAATGGTATCGGAGAGAAATTAGAGAGGGATGGATGATGGGTAAATATAATAGTGGGGCAGGAGGAAAACAGGAAAGAGGACAAAGGACATACACACATATTTATAATGCAAATGTATAAGTATATGTATATCTGTTTATATACATATATATGAGCAAATGCAAAAAGGAATCAGATGGACTTTGGGCCTCTACTTAAATCTTACCTCAATACAAGAATGGTTTATTCTAGTAACATGGCACTGTATAATACTCACCTCCCTGGCACCATCACTGAAGACAAAATAGGTGCAAGCAAATGTGGTGAAGAAAGCTGATGGTACCCAGCTATCAAAAGATATAGTGCCCGGGATCTTAAAGGCTTGAAGATAAACAAGTGGCCATCTAGCTGAGATGCAACAAAGCCACATGGGAGAAGCACATCAGCCTATGTGATCATGAAGTATCAATGGGATCAGGTATCAGGCATCAAAGACCCAGGACAAAAAAATCATATCAATGTGAATGAGGGGGATGCCGAGTGGAGACTCAAAGCCCATCTGTGGACAATTAGACATCCCCTTACAGAAAGGTGGCAAGGAAGGGACAAGCCAGACAGGGTGTATTATAGCACAGATGAAACATACAACTTTCCTCTAGTTCTTTAATGCTTCTCTCCTCCTCCCCGCACTATCATGATCCCAATTCTACCTTGCAAATCCAGT